AACTCCCTAAGGAGCTTTCAGAAACTACATGCTTTACGCTTTCAGACAAAATTTGAATTGCGCAAAATCGTCGTGACCGAAAGAAGTTATGATTTTTTGAAAATGGTGCGACAGAACTTTCGGTTCAACCTAATATTAGCAGGATCTCTAGCTACAGCAAAAATGGTAAATACTAAAAATTTTGGGTTTTTCGCTTTGCAAAAGTACTAGTTTGGTAATTTCCATTCTTACAAAAACATATAACAGCCATTTCCAGCCAAATAAAGTGTATTCTGTAGAGATGACCGCAGCATTATGTGGCATAAAAAAATTCAAAACCATCAGTATCTTTGTAACTTTAGTACTGCAAAGTTAGGCTCCCAGACTTTTGCCGCACCCTGTATATACTTTGCCTGGGCTTCTTTGGAAAAAGTGCCTGGGTGAAGGGTGTCCTGGTGATTTCTGGAGATTTTCGAGTTTTTAACATAAAAAAATTCATAACCCCAATAGATGAACATCTTGTACGCCGTGATGGTCACCATTGGAACCGTCTCGTCCTCCGATTTCAGAAAATATATACATTGTCTGGGATCCGTCGAAAAAAGTGCTGGGTGAAAGGTGGGTGAGACTTTTATAATGAGAGTGCTCAAGTAGACGTCTTTTTACAATGGTAAAAAAGCCTGTACTTGAGCACTCCCATTATAAAAGTCTCACCCACCCTTCACCCGGCACTTTATAATGGACCCCAGGCAAGGTATATACTTTCTGAAAGCGGAGGACGAGACGGTTCAATGGTGGCTATCTCAGCGTACAAGATGTTAATCTACAGAAGTTATGAATTTTTCTATGTTAAAAACTCGAAAACCTTCAAAAATCCCTAGGACACCCTTCACCCAGGCACTTTTTTTGAAGTATTCCAGATAAAGTATATATTTTCTGAAAGCGGAGGACAAGACGGTTCCAATGGTGCCCATCTCGCCGTAAAAGATATTCATCTACAAAACTTAAGAAATTTTTTAATGTTAAAAATTCGAAAATCTGAAATCACTACTCACACCCGTCACCAAGCACTTTTTCAACAAAATCCTCCTTTCCTTTACATAAACAATTCACGTACAAACATTTCCTTTGCTTAACCTTACCTCACTGTTGATTTTTTTCTCTGCTTTTTTTGAAGGGGGTCACCTTGGTCCCGGTTAGGGGTGAAGGGAGGGTGAGAAAATTCTCAGACTATCGCACCTGTGAATATAATGTTACGAGGTTTATTCTGTGCGATAATTTTGAATTCTTCACAATGAAACGATTGCCTTGACAAATGTCAAGAAGTGATCATTTTGGGATGCATTTTGCTATGTCTAGTACCTGAGTCAATTGCGAATTCCTCCTAGATAAGACAATGAATCAACGTTTTTCACTGATATAATAAGATTATCATTTGTTGCTCTTTGGATTTCTCCCCAACTAAGAATTCCACTCGTCTCTTTGCAACATGGCGACCATGGCAGGATGGGCATCATTCTTATCGTCCTCTCTTGCGTTATAATCGCAGTGATGTTCTGGACCATTATCCCACTAGTGATCCTTGCAAAGCGAATAGCTAGCCTACCTTTACGAATCATCAAGCTTGCTTGGCGCACTGTGTTAGAAATCATAGTTTTCTCCAGCACGAAAACCAAAACGCGAAAAAAGACGATAAAAATCATCTAAAGATCTTCTCACTCTAACGAATATTTTAATACTTGCATCGCACTTCAATGTCCTGAAAACATGCTCTGATGTTGTGACAATGACCTCCGCAATCAAGTCATGCTCCAAGAATGGTAAAAACGATACCTGTTCTTTCGATTAAGGAAGTACACTAGCCCTTCAGCTTCTTGGAAAAGAAGTTTATATATCAATGAGAAACTACCAAAGCGAGTCCATGGGACTGCTTGCGTTTCGTATTAATGGAATACATCATCTCAGCAACAAAAAGATTGAATATTTTACGCGCGACCATAAATTCCAGACCGAATCCTCACATAGATGTTACTGGGCTAGAAGCTGCAAGAAGGGAGTATGTGACAACACGGAGATATTGGACAAAATCGAAGAATTCAGTCACAAAGCCAACCACCATCAAGGTTCACCTTTTGCACGAAGCTGTCAATGCTGCGACGGTTGTTTTCTGTGTACATCTTCCTGTCTCTTCTACAGATACTTTGCAGTACCCACATCCGAAACCATCTACCAGTATTCATGTCCCATCTGGGAGCTTACTTTTTCAGTCGAAATGACACTGCAGAGCCAAGAAGACATACGAACACGTCGCGTCATACTACATCCTGAGAAGACAGTAGCCATCAATGACATCAAACTTTCAAGAAGCCATCGATGACATCAAACTTTCAAGAAGCCATCGATGACATCAAGCTTTCACTCATAGACACTACAACACCACAGCCGCCCATATTATTTTTAACATTTCTTAGCGAAATTTACCTTTTTAACGTACTTATTTGCCGCTTGCATTATATTCTTCTCTTTTTCTTTGTAGCCACCGCTCTATTTAAAAAGTCATCCTATACAAGAAGTATCGATAGTTTGCCGGGGAGTTTATTTGTGCGATAATTTCGAATTCTTCATAGCAATGAAATGATTGCCTTGACAAATGTCAAAAAATGACTCATATCATTTTGAGGTGCGTTTTGTTATGCCTAGTGCCTGAGCCAATTGCGAGTTCCTCCTGAAACAATGAATCAACGTTTTCGCTAATATAAAAGGATTGTCATTTGTTGCTCGATCTCCCCCAACAAAGAATTCCACTCGTCTCTTCGCAACAACAGGTATATCGTGAATAAAGATAAGGCACAAACTTGAGCTCCAATTCTTCTTAGAATGATGCTGTTTCTGTACATTCAAGTGCACATTCACAGGCGATAAGGTGGGCAAGCTGATGCTAGCCCATCAAAAATTATCGATTTTATCGATTTCTGTGTTGTTCATCCCAAGAAGCTCGAATTCCACATACATATATAGGTTTTTTAGCATACTGATTACGAAAATGATAGTCTAAGGTGCTCTTTCGCCTTCTTACATTAGTTTCTTGATTTTTACGAAAATTTCACTGTACCGCTACCAAGGCCCCTCTGTGAGAAAGTAGTGAACAAATCGGACACTATAATCGTGACCAGCACGTGAAATAATCCCAAAACACACTTTTCCATTAAAATCCGTAATGTTGGATTAGTACAGAATGACCACCATAACCTTACCGTATAATGCCAAAAACTAAAGCGAATATGAATGAAATGAATTTGCACTACTGATTCGGAGAAGGCGGTCGCACTTCACCATCAGTGCGATAGCGGTAGAGCCACGGCCTCTGAAGACAAGGATTGCTCGAAACGTTAGGCCGCTCTACTAATAAAGCTTCGCCGAAACCTCGTGTTGGCACACTAACAAATAGAACTAAAGTGAATCATATTTTGATAAGCAGCGCCTTGGATAACCCCTCCGGGGAAATTCGAGGAGATATGTTTTCATCTTTTCCAAAAATACCACCTTTTGGACAATACGACCCATGGGTGGATCGTAAGTTTTACAGGGCGAAAAAGGCTCTGGTCCAAACGGCAGTATTGGAAAAATTGGCCTTGTCGTAAATGTGTTAATTTTTATCTTGACGCGTGGCAAGGAGAGTCCCCATAACAATTACAAGAAATTTCCAAGCTGAAGCACGTATTTCATGAAAAATTGCATTAGGATAACTTGCCACGCGATAAGTTCAATTTTTGGAAATCATTTCTATTTACAAATTCAAGTAAATCATTTGCACTGTAAGTGATTTTCAAAAACTTTGCGACATCCTTGGCACACATTGTCTAAACAAGCTTGAACTGTTTATTTTTCCAAGGATGTATTCAAGGCGCCAGCTGTCCGCTATTTTGAACGCGTCGATCTCTGTCCTGTTCTTGGCTGCAGGCGCGGTAAGCTCCCCGGACTTGAGTTTCTCTACTCAGCCTGTGCTTATTCTTTCTCCCATGGTTGTGAATGTTTATCCTCTGCAGCATTTTCAAGTTTTGTTTATTATTTACACATAAGACGAAAATCACCAAGAGTAACTAATTACTGAGAGATTAGAGGCAGTGTCCGGACAAAAAAAACGAACTTATGGTCTGTGCTTACCTGGGTCTATTCGCTACGCTGAATCCGCGAATCCATACTGAAGAGCGCGAAGACGGCGAAAAAGAGCTCTAGCGCAGGAGGGATATCAGAAGTGGGCGGGGTCTTCCCCAGGGTGAATTCACGCTCCAAGCTTCCGGAACGATCTTCTCGGTCCCGATTTCAAATCATGCGTTTGCACCTAACCTGTAGAGATCTCAGGGCGCTAGCGGAATTGAGAAGATCGCTTCAGAAACCGGGACCGCGAAATTCACAGTGGGGAAGACCCCGCCCACTTTTGATTTCACTCCTGCGTTAGAGCCCTTTTTCGCCGTTTTCGCGCTTTCCAAGGCGCATTTTCGGATTCAGCGTAGCGAATAGGCCCGGGTAAGCACAAAATCTCATAATCGAGTTTCTGCCCGGACACTGCCTTTAACGTGGATGCTTTCGATCAAATCATGACGAAATGGACTTTTTCGAGTTTTTGAACGGACTTACTTCGCATTTTTCTTTCCTTGGACCCCACAGATAGCCGCACATGCAGTGATTGCTAGACAGTGTGTCCGAACCTGAGCGCATGCAACAGCTGTACCACTGCGCAGATCCAGTATACTGCTTGTAAGCTGATTTCCGACGCCATGTCCATTTTTCTGCTTCTGTAGGTAACGATCATGGGTTAAGCGAAAACCTTTTTATTCAAGCGGCAACGGTATGAAGGTAGCAGTTTATACAAACACATAATTAAGAGTTTTCATAAGCTTCATGGGTGCGGTCTAAATCATATCGTTGTTATACGAATAATCTCCTGTGCAGGCGCGAGGGCAAGAAGATGGATCCCTTCAACTCTTTCCCATCACCTTATCATTTCGTAGTCAAGAAAGTTAAGACCACACCTCCTTGATGAGGTATCGAATCCACGAGTCAGCTTCCCGTTCCAGTCGAGCTTCCCTCGATCTGTCGCTTGCATTTCTGCTCTCACGTGATTCGATTTGATTCGTGATTTCAGCAGCGGTTTCTTCATCGATTCGCAAGGGTGGTGTAACGCAGCCACCATCGTCGGACGTGTTACTTGAATGAATACTTAGGTCTCTTCTTCTTTTGTTTCGACTACAGAAATCAGCAGATCCAGTTGATGCCCAACTTCTGGCTCGTTCGCGACCACCTGATTCGCTAAGGTGCTTTCATTATAATTAAATAGTTACTAGGTTACCATCTTTTCTTCGTTTAGCGGATAAACCATCTCCATTCGAGGTAGCCGGCATAAGTTGCGACTTTGGAGATGCAAAGTGACGTCCCGAGGCTCGATCGGTCAAATCTGTGCAGGATCGGAGACTCTGCGGTGTGTGACTTCTTTCGCAAATAACCATTACGCTGAAAAAAAGTTTTGTAACCGTTTAGTTTAGTTTTCCTTTTGAAGTTGAGAATTGCTTGGGCATTACCCATTTTGTCTTGTTATATGAGCAGAAGGATCAGTTTCATTCAAGAAGGAAGATATGCAAAAGTTCTTCACTTGTAATCTGACCGGATATACAGTAATTTGAGATGATGATCTTGCACCAATCAATCTTGTTTTATTCACACTCTGAAAACAAACTTCAAACCACATTTTTATCATTTTCCTATAAACACGTAAAATAGCGTGCCCTTGAGTATCTAAATAGGTAATAACTATGGCGGCGTCCTATGTTGATGTCGGCGTTGTGCCAGCGCCGTTTCGGGGTGTGCTAGCGCCTTTTTGGAATCAAGTCGACGAGATGCGCTGATCATAAACTTTTCGTGATAGCGCTAGCACGGCGCTGGCACGAAAAACTTTGCACACAGCTAAAAAGCAATAAACGCCTTACCCCTTTTGGCCGTCCTCTCTTTTTGGAAGGTGCTCCTGACTCTACAAGAATCCCTGGTCGTTTCCCTTTGGACAAAGATGGCACAACCTCCGCCATGGTCATTTTGACTGCTTTTCTGGAACAGAGCAATTCATTGACTCTAATAAATTACACAAGCTTCGCAATAACTTTTCTCGTACTTTTGACAAAAAAATCTTATGAAAAACCATAAAACACAAATGTATAATTTTGGAGATATTTTAAAGGAATTAAAATGTATTCGAGGTATATATTCATTTATTCATTTATCAAATACATCGTAAACGATGCAACACTTCAAAAATGAAATACAAACAAACTATTAAATATGGAACGAGGTGGGAGAAAAAGGCAAGAATGACTTCAAATTTACTCTCACTTTCGAGTCATATCCAATTGACAAATCTGTAGAGTTCTTATATAATTTCGGGAAAATATATCCTTCTATATATATAAAACCGAATGGTGTACTTGTCTGTACGCTGGTGAATGCTGTCTGTACTCCTCGATGGTGTTTTCTGGACGATGGTGTTTGTATCTGTCGTTTTCCAGTATGGAAACTTATTACTACTTCTACCAAATTTTCGATTACTTGCAAATTTGAACTACGGGGCTGGGAGTTGGCACAGGGGTGGGGGTTGGCACAGGGGGGGGGGGGGAGGGGTAAGCGAACTTGCTGACATTTTGTCGATTTTTTTGCAAAGTTCAAGTTACGGGGCTGGGAGTTGGCACGGGGAGGGGGGGGGGTAATCAAACATGCTGATTACGAATATGATAACTATTTTCAAAAATGCCCATCACTTTTATCATTTTATCGATTTTCGGTTTTCTTGCAAATTTTGAACTACAGGGCTGGTATTTGGCAAAGGGGGGGGGGGAGGATAAGCGAACATGCTGATTACGAATACTATATCAGTTTTTAGAATTATCAATTACTTTTATCATTGTATCGATTTTTTTGCGAAATTCGAGCTACGGCGCTGAGAGTTGACAAAGGGGGGGGGGTAAGCAAACATGCTGATTACGAATACAATATTAGTTTTTAGAATTATCAATTACTTGTATCATTTTATCGATTTTTTTGCAAATTTTGAACTACGCGGCTAAGAGTTGGCAAAGGGGGGGGTAAGCGAACATGCTGATTACGAATACTATATCAGTTTTTAGAATTATCAATTACTTTTATCATTGTATCGATTTTTTTGCAAAGTTCGAGCTACGGCGCTGAGAGTTGGCAAAGGGGGGGGGGGGTAAGCGAACATGCTGATTACGAATACAATTTTAGTTTTTAAAATTATCAATTACTTGTATCATTTTATCGATTTTTTTGCAAAGTCGAACTACGGCCCTGAGAGTTGGCACAGGGGGGTAAGCGAACATGCTGATTACGAATATGATAACCAGTTCAGAATATACCCATTACTTCTATTGGTTCAATTGACTTTCTGCAATGTTTGAACCACGGCGCTGGGGGTTGCTACAGGCAGGTGATTGAGCATGCTGCTCACGCACACGTTCTTATTTTACAAGTTATCAATTACCTTCACTGGCTTTATCGATTTTTTGCAAAGTTTAAGCCACGGAACTGGGATTTGGCACATGGGAAAAAGCAAGCATGCCTATTACGATCGTAATAAGTTTTTGAAAGTACCTATTATCTCTTTCAATTTTTCTATTCTTTGTAAAATTAGAGCTACACAGCTGGCATTTGGCACAAAGTTGTATGTGAGCACGCTTAGTGCAGAGATAGTGACTTTGTTTTTGAGAAAATTCATTACTTTTATTGTCATCTTTTTAAAGCTGAAGCTATGAGGCTGAGATAGCACTGGTCCGGGGGGTAAGTGAGCATGCTGAGAATCCTATAATCACACAACTGACGAAGACGGTAAATTTACCTAGAGTTGTTATAGATTCACTTTGGCCCGCTTTTACCTTTTAAGATCCTAGTTCTGCCCCCAAAATCAGAAAAGCACGAAGACCCTGGTTTCGAGGGAAGGATAGGCTTATAAACTGAGGCGGCAAAATATCTCCTTTAAGAATTTCTACGAGCATCTAATTATACAGAAATCTCCTTGAATTTTACCTCTGTCCCTTCTACTTTGCAAAAACCATACTTCTTCCTCGTAAAAAGCACAAAGCGCTCTCGAGGGAAGGACAGACCCATGAGCTTTATCCGAAAGGACATTTTCGCTAAGATGTTTGACCCCTAGACTTCGCAAAAACCAGTACTTCTGCCCCTAAAAGCAGAAAAGCACAGAGAGTTTAGTCTAGGGGGAAGAAAGATCATGGCTTCAGGCAGCAAGATATTTTCGCCAGAAGTTTCTGGGTGTCAATGATTATACAAAAACTTGCTTGAAATTTACTTCTGGCCATTCTACTTTGCGAACCACACTTCTTCCTCTAATAGCAAAACAGCACAGATAGCTTGGTTTCGAGGAAAAGACAGAACCATGAACCTTCTCACCCTAAAAGCAGAAAAGCACGGGGAATTTTAGTCTCGAGGAAAAGACAGACCCATGAGCTTCATCCGACAGGACATTTTCGCTAAGATGCTTGACCTCTAGATTCGCAAAAACCAGTACTTCTGACCTTTAAAGCAGAAAAGCACAGGGATTTTGGTCTCTAAGGAAGGACAGACCCATGAGCTTCTTGCGACAGGGCATTTTTACAGGAACTTTCGGCCCCTTCTACTTCGCAGAAACCAGTGCTTCTAAAAGCAGAAAAGCACAGAGTGCTTGGTCTCGGGGGAAGAAAGAATCATGGCTTTAGGCAGCAAAATATTTTCGCCAGAAGTTTCTGGGTGTCAATGGTTATACGACAACTTGCTTAAAATTTACTTCTGGCCATTCTACTTTGCAAAAACCACACTTCTTCCTCTAAAAGCGAAACAGCACAGTTAGGTTGGTTTCGAAGAAAAGACAGAACCATGAGCTTCATGCGACACGTTTTCGCTAAGGCGTTTGACCCCCTAGACTTCGCAAAAACCAGTACTTCTGGCCTTAAAAGCAGAAAAGCACAGGGAATTTATTTATTGTCTCTAGGGAAGGACAGCCCATGAGTTTCATCCGACAGGACATTTTCGTTAAACGTTTGACTCTTCGCAAAACCACAAAACTCAAAAACCACACTTCTGGCTCTAAAAGCGAAAAAGCACAAGTAGCTTGGTCTCAAGGGAAGAAAGAATTATGGCCTCAGGCAGCAAGATATTTTCGCCAGAAGTTTTTGGGTGTCGATGTTTTATCATACAGAAACTTGTTTGAAATTCGTGGCCATTCTACTCTGCAAAAACCGGACTTCTACCCCTAAAAGCAAAACAGCACAAATAGCTTGGTCTCGAGGGGAAGAGACTCATAAGCTCAGCCAGCAAGATACTTTCGCTGAAAATTTCTGGGTGTCAATGTTTATTCTACAGAAACTTGTTTGAAATTCACTTGTGGCCATTCTACTCTGCAAAAACCGGACTTCTGCCTCTGAAGGCAGAAAAGTGGTCTCGAGGGAAAGACAGACCCATGAGCTTCTTGCGACAGAAATTTATCTTCCTTGAAAATTTTGGCCTTTTGAACTTCGCTGAAACCACACTTTTGTCCCTAGAAGCAAAAAAAACAAGGAGCTTGGTCTCGAGGGAAGAAAAGACTCAGGGCTCAGGCAGCAAGATATTTGCGGTAAAATTTTTAGGTGTCAATATTTGATTTAAAGAAACTAAGGGCCGCATGCACTAACATCCCTGCGGCGAGGGGAGCGGCGTCCCCAATGATGAAAAAGCCGCAGCGGCGTCCGCACGCGGTCCCTTCATAACGGGGGACGCCGCTCCCCTCGCCGCAAAAATGTTAGTGCATACGGGCCTAAGTGTCGAATATTGTTGTGCCGAACAAGATGTTAGGTGTTTTTTTTATTGTCAACTAGCTGGCTTACCCGGCTCCGCCGTATGTTCCAAATAGAAAATTCCATTTCTTAACCGATCCGGACCAAACTTGGCACACATACCCTTCGGGCCCCGGCGGGTGTCACAGTCCACTTTTCTTATCGATCGATGTCGATTTTATCGATTTGCAAAATTTGAGCTACGGGGCTGGGAGTTGGCAGAGGGGTGTAATCGAGCATGCCGATTACGCCTGTGCCAAATCCCAGCCCCGTAGCTCAAACTTTGCAAAAAAATCGATAAAATCGATAAAAGTAACGCACGATTTTAAAAACTAATATTGTATTCGGAATCCCCATGCTCACTTACCCCCCTGTGCCAACTCCCAGCCCCGTAGCTCAAATTTTGCAAAAAATCGATAAAATCGATATCGATCGATATGAAAAGTAGCCTATGACACCCGCCGGGGCCCGAAGTGTATGTGTGCCAAGTTTGGTCCCGATCGGTTCAGAAATGGAATTTTCTATTCGGAACATACGTACATACATACAGACAGACATACAGACATACAGACATACAGACATACAGACAAACAGACATTCAGCTTTATATATAAGAAGATACTCTTCGGCCTTACGTTTCGACG